AAACTGATAGGACGCCGCTTCATATAGCAGGATAATGACCCAAAACATATAGCAAAAGCAAAAGAATTTCTCAAGGCAAATAAGTGGGACGTTCTTCAATGGTCAAGTCAGTCACCTGATCTCAGCCCAATAGAGCATGCTTTTCACTTACTGAAGACAAGACTGAAGGCAGACAGACCCACAAACAAGCAGCAGCTGAAGGCAGCTGCAGTAAAGGCCTGGCAAAGCATCTCGAGGGAGGAAACTCAACGTTTGGTCATGTCCATGGGTTTCAGACCTCAGTCAGTCATTGACTGCAAAGGATTTTCATCCAGGTATTAACGGTGATCCTTGTTTGTGATGATGTTGGTTTGTTCCATTACTTATGAGCCACCAATGATTGGGGGGGTATGTCACTGGCTGTACTTTCTGAATGGTTAGTGCCCCACTTTTGTCAAACCCCTTGAATTACAGCTGAAAGTCCTGACTCCGCTGCCATCTGGGTGTGTTTCCTTTCAACTTCAATGTGGTGGTGTACAAAGGCCAAATGCCAAAACAGTTAACCTTGTTCCAATATTTCTGGTCCTGACTATACAGTTTAGTGTTTTATCTAACAGAATTTTTTGATAAAAATTAAGAGTTCAAACTGCCATTTGCGACTCTGGGGGCCTGGAATATCCAAGTATAGCTGACACATAGGGCTGATCAATACACTTGAAGCTGCTGCTTTGGAAAGCAGCATCTACTTGTAATTTATTAAATAAGTCATGCTCTTTTCTTGGATCTTGCAGCTGCAACAGACGTAACCACACAATCTTGGGAAAAGACATAGTTATTTTAATGAGTTGCAGGCAAGTACTGCATTTCGGTTGCTACATGTTCGAAAGTACCTATTATACATCATTTTTGAAGCAGTGGACAGTCCTATTATAGTAATCTACTTAGAAATAAATTAGCATGCCAGGAGATCAAAGCCTACCAAATCTTCTGAGGCAAACAGTAAATCAATCCAAATTGGGGAAACCATACTTAAGCAGGAAACCAGAACTAGATGCCACATTCATATCATAATTCCAATTCTAGTCTCAAGGAAGTCTGCCTAGCTAGGATGTAAAAGCAAGCCATAATTCATCACAGCATAGAAAGGATGACATAGTGATTGTGTTTCTACAGCACACAAAAATAAGACAATCATGCAATATCTCAATCTGTTGTGTGAACACTGCTGAAATGATAGGAGGAGGGGAACCTGGAAGCCAGAGGAAAGTTCATGCAACACAAGAGTTTGGCTTTACATCTGAAGTAAGCTACTATGTCAATAGACAGCTATATCCAAATAGCAAAGTATATAACAAATAAATTCTCCTTAAGTTTATAACATAACAACAAAAGCAAAATATCTTACCACATCATCTGTCAAGATCTTGAGGTGCAAGGGCTGTAAATGAAACAAGCAATCTGTTAAGGTGATTTAAACTATTAAAAGTATAAACTAAAACAAAGGAATGTTTTAACAAAAAAGTGATAATTCCTATTACATATTTCAAATTTAAGTAGAATATAAATATATATGACTAGAACTATGTGACCCAATACATGAATAATCCAAAAAGCTTCTTCAAAAGGTACTTGTCAGTTCATAAATAATTAAACTATAGTATGTTTTGTTTCAAAGGATGGTTTAGCACCATATGCTAAGTAAGCTAGCTGCTGGTGTGCTTCACCATAACTATAATAGTATATGAATGAAACCATTGCTTCATCGCTGGCATATGCAGCAAATGAAAACGTTACAACTTCCAACTAACCTTCCCTTTTCATACAACAACTGTTATTTTTTGCAGCTTGTTAAGTAATAGCTCAACAAATCTATTTTGCTGTCCATGTTTTCCCTTTAGCTTAAGCTTCTCAAATGTGGCAGCTTCTCCTGAAGATTTGACTTGCTCCATTCAAACAAAACAATATAAAGATTTTAGCATAATATTCTTTTCTTCTAGAAATGTCATCATCTGGAGAGATAAGCTAAACAGAAGTGCTCAAACTGCCCACTAGTTCTTTCAGATTTTTCTTCTCTTCAAATACTGAATATAGACAACAATTTATCTAGTGGAGATTATGAAAGCTACAAAGAGTACTTGGAAACATTTATTAAACTTGTCTATTACAAGACAGTAAGCACCTACTTACTATATTAAAAATAATTTTTTAAAATACAGCCTTTTAAGTTAGTTTATATTTCCACTTTATGTGGCTGCTTTTCAGTGAAAGCTCAGACTGACTGACAATAAAAGAAAAACCCCAACAACAAAAATATGTGACTAAATAATATACATCAGAACAAATACAAACTGAAGCACAAAGAAATACACCCCATGACGCTAAGCAAGTAAGACAAAACTTTCACCCAACATCGAAAAGGATACAATAACAGCAACAAACAAAACTCCTTGGGGAGATAAATGAGGTGTCTGAATTCTTCTATCTGTCACCAGTCAACATCTGCCTCACCTGCCAAACTCAAAATGTAGCAATTATCACACAGGAAAAGACAGTCCTTAACTGTCCTGGATACAAGTTGCAGCAAAGAAGCTAAGTCACAATGGCTTTCACACAAATACTTTGTTAGTATTATCCAAATGCCTTAAATAAAATTGGCTTGTTATTTATCATAATGGAAAGGAACGCATAGGTAAGGCCGTGGAACAATGTCATCTACTATTTATTAAATTTATATTCTGCCTTTCTATTCATACTATACACAATGCAGTTTTAAAATGATTGGTATGCCTTAATGACTTCATATCATGATTGATATGAACTTGACTTCAAAGACATCACCTTAGATAAGCAGTCTCTACAGTAACTAATCAAACTATACTGAGTCTGAAATGTCATTCTATCCTGAAATCTTGTTACACCAAGCAGGATCAGCAAGTAAAAGTATTATGAACCATTTATTGTTTCTTTCATTCTGAGAACTACTTTTTGTCCCTTAGAAGCTTAGCTTTTATAATGCTTTATCACTCCATTCAAATTCAATCCTGAATCCAGTAGTACAGCAGTTAGTAGGGTTTGCAACAATCTCTGAAATCCCCATGGGTCTGAGTAGAGAAAAGTCCATGTTCTCAAGAAACCAAGATGACCTGTTTTGAGACCTGTTCAGAATTACCCTCCTGCTGTACCAGTTTCCTCTCTTCATCACCAAAAGAAAGAGATGAGCCAGGTCCCATAGACAAGAAGGTGGGAGTATAGTTGGACTACGGTTGAAAGTATTGAATCTTCAACCCAAGCTCTCCCTGGTTCAACTTTCACTTAGTAATAAAAATTACAGGAATGCTTCCTCTAGTGTGCTTTATACTTTATAGATACCCATTATGATCAGGGCCCTGAAGTGCAGGCACATCCCACCTGACTCCTCCAAAATGGAGATGTGATTCTATGGAAAAATAATAGCCACTTCCCAACTCTGAGACACTGAATGTTAGTAACGGCTCTCATTATTTTGTAGCAGACTGCTAAACTGTCAATTACAGGGGAGGGCAGGACTAAATGACCAAGCACTTAAAGTTGCATTGTTTGAAATGCTGTCAGTTTTGAAGATTCAGAGAGCTTGAGTCAACCATATTAGGTCATTGTTTCTTCAGCTGTTCTTATTGCTAATAGAAACAGAGGCAAGCTAAGCAGTGACACCGTCCTGCTGATTGACCAGCAAGAACTGAGCTGAGAGAGCAAGTAAAAAAAAAAAAAAAAGCCTCTTAAAGTGATCATGGCTCCTGGGACACATGCCCATTATGACCCTGAGCCATGATTATAACTTTCCCAATTATCCAATAAATGTCCCAAAAAAGTGCTGAGCTTTCCCTCTCATCCCCTTCCATTTGAAAAATCCAGTGATATACACAACAAAAGAAATGATAGAGCTCCATGAAGCATGCCAAAGCTAGACAAAATAAGCTAGAAGGGAAAAAATGCTCACTGTATTTTAATCAAACCTATCAAACAAGAAAGAAGAATAACCCAGTATTCATGATATTCTCCACTGTAGAAAACGGCTCATTATACTGGATGAACTGTAAAGTGTCACTTTGTACAATAGCTACTATCACCTGAGAAATAATATCATCTAATACCAGTCTTAAGCATTTTACTCAGAAACACTGAATTTACTAGGATTTATTTCCAGATAAGTATGTATAGGTTTGCAACTTAAATAGAAATCACCATCCAATTTCTCTCAAATGTTGGTGCATGCAATGGATTTTATGATCTTTTTCATGGAAGCATTGAGTATACTAACAGATATTTACTGGTAGTACATACATGACTGCCTGAACATCCATTATATAGTTGACCCTAACTCCAGGTGTAGTTTGGCAGTAGAATCAACATTAGAACTTTACCAGTCTTTTTGATCATGAGATCCACTGAGAAAACATTGTGTTTAATAACCTTATTGAGACTTGTCCGTAGAATAACTGAAGTCTACATAAAACGGTGTCCTTTAAAATATTTGCTTTATCAAATACATTGACCTTCCTTTGCTGCTGCCATGCTCCATGACTCTCCTAGCATTTTTCTGAGACTGTTCCAGTTTAAAACAGCTGAGACCAGAGCCTAAGGCTGATTTCCAAGAATATTTCTGGGGCCTATACGTATGTCGAAGACACAGAATAAAAAGCCAAGTCCATGCACATCTCCTGGAAGGCTAGCTAGAACATTGGAGACACAACCAACCAATTTCTCTTCCACCACACCACGGCAGTGACCTTGCATATGGCCATCCCAAGCCCCACCAAGGTACATCTGCCCCAAGAGGTCAGAGATCCCTTCTCCAGCCCTGCTGCAACCCCAAATGGTTTATCATTCCTGCCCAGGAACAGGAATGTTCCCTTTCCAATAAGAAGTTGTTTTGCAACCTGCCACCCTTCCTTGGTGCGAGTGGCCACCCTAAGCCCCACCGAGGAAGTCGGCCATCCCTTTCTTACCAGGGGCAACCCCAACTGCTTTGTCCATCCTGCCCAGGAGCGGGTCAGTTTCCTTTCCGCCGAAAGGCCGCGTTGCAACCACCGCGGGGAGCCCCTTTGCGGCGCGCAGGTGCCCCGCAGCCCCTTCCCTAGGCCCTCTTGCAGCCTCAATCGCTTTCCCATCCCTGCCCAGGGGCAGGCAATTCCCTTCCCCGTAAGGGCCGCTCGGCAGCCCGCTGCTTCCACCCCACCACGGGGAGCCCCTCTGCGGCGTGCAGGCGACCCACAAGGAAGCCAGGCGCCCCTTTCCTGCTCCCCAACTCCACCCAACCGCTTCCGCGCCCCTGCCCAGGAGCAGGTCGAGTTCCCTCCCACCCAAAGGGAAGCAGGGAAAGCCAAGCCCTCCAGCGCGGCAGAAACCCGCCCGAGCTCTGGTACTTACGAACTTGGCTTTCTTGCTGCTGCTGCTGCTGCTGCTGCTGCTGCTGCAGCCCTCCGAGCCGAGCGCCTCCGCGGCCTGCCTGCGGGGCGGCTGGTTCTCCCTCGGCTTCCCGCGCAGGCCTTTCTCCATGGTGGGCTCGGCGAAGGTGCAGAGGCAGCTGCCCGGCCCGAATTCTCCCGCCGCTCTGGCCCCGCCCTCTCCCGCAGACGCCGCCAATACCTGGCCGCGCGGCTGGAACGCGGCCTCCTGATTCGGCGCGCTGGCGCCAATCGCGCCTCGCGTCAACCGTCGTCTCCAGGACGGAGCCGTGGCTCGCCGCTGAGGAGACTCCGCCTCGGAGGCGCTATTCCTGAGTTGCTGCTCCTCGGAGTAGGGCATGTCATTCTCCCGTCCCGCTTGGGGTGATCCTGTAGGTGATTTATGGCTGGTGTGGTGTAGGGTTGAGGTAAGTTGTGTCTTCGTGAAGAGGAGAGGACCGCCGACTACGACCGAAGGGGAGGAGACACACCGTACCCCTCAGGCACATTATTTAAAAAGAAAGAAAATGAAGCATTTTGCCTTTTTTTTTTTTTTAAACTCTGAGAAAGCCCAGAAACAACAGCAGCAACTACTCAGTGGAGGAAGAAGCACGGAACTTTCCAGTGGAGACGTGAGGTAACGTCTCCACTGAGGTGAAGTAAATCCTGATGACCTTGTTCTTCTAGCCTTCTGGGCAATAACATGGAAGTGATTCGTCATGAAAAGTCTTCCAGGATACTTTCTTGACCTCTTCCTCTAACCAAAGACCATTAGGAGTACTAAGTAAGCCAGTCGGACCTTGATTTGCTTTTTGGAGATCTCCTCAGGAGGTCCTGACATCTGTAACCGGATGCTGATAACGTGGGGAAAAAAATTAAAATTGCTATTGCTGGAAGTAAGAGTCTGACTCAGCAAGAAAACAAAGCTCGCCTTTGACCAAGTCTACCATCTTAATTGAAAAGAGCGTTTGGAAATGTATAAATTCCTTCGGTTGGTCCAACTCAACCTAAAGGGGGGAAAAAAGATACATTCTGAATACTTCCTAATAGAAAAAAAACAAAAGAAGAAGTCAAAGTTGGTCCATTGTTTTTTTGTTCTAGAGTTGCAAGAATGGATGGAGTGGTGTGGAATATGTTGAGAAAACCATACACAATTTGCTAGGGAATTATTAAAAGGAATTAATTCTCACGACAAATGATGGAAGCAGCGGTTTTCACATAGTGTTTCCAGAGAGAGACAGCCACAGAAAAGACACAACAAAGAAGCAACAATGATGGTTCCACTTCAATAATACAGCCTATGAAAAACAACAGCAGACTTCTGATGGCTTATTCATAAAGCATAACAGTTGCGCCATGTGTGCTTTTTGTTATTTGGCCTTGCAGAGAAATGTCAACAAACAAAACAATGCTGTCTTTCTTTTAAAAAAAGGAAGATTCTACAGCATTGTAATAAGTGCATACTTTGCATTTGTCATTCTACTAGTACAGCAACAAGAGCACAGCAATGCTGTTGGTAATGTTTGTAGTATGCATTTCTGCATTTGGCAATTTTCCTAAATAAACAAGCCTAGCACATATTGAGAGAAGATTATGTTAAAACCCTTTTGTTTCCTCTTAATGTAGAATTGAAGAATAGCAATACATCCACCTACCAGGGCAGCAACAGTTTTTGTAATATCCAAAAATGGTTCTTAGCACACAATTAAATGATTTTCCTCACTCCCACCTCTGCTTCCAGCCAGCAGCAGGGATGGAACCAGTTTTATTAGCTAATTCGCTCTCTGTAGTTTCTATTATTTGAAGAAATTAAATGAAAGGCATGTCAATTATGGGATGTTGGAACACTCAAAACATGAAGTGCATTACCTCAGCATGGTACTGACAAAACTTTGAGCCATGATCATTGCAAACTTGGAACATTATACACATTCCTGGCTAGGACTACTTAGCAAACAGAGCTTTGTGGTTAAGCAGGAATATGATTTTCAGTTTGTTTCTTTTTATTCAGCTATCGGGTCATTCCCAAAGGCCTGGGATAGGAAGATATTGTTGTTAAAGGTATCGTCACAAGATGTAAGCTGTTCCAAGTAAAGCTGCCTTCTGCAGTTGATTGATGGTGATTTTGCCAATGCCAATCGTCTTCAAGTGGTACTCCAGATGTTTTGGGATTGCACCCAAAGCGCCTATTATTATTGATACTATCTTTGCTTTCTTTTGCCACAGTTATGGCATTTCCTTCTCAAATGTCTGTTGTAGTTCAGGGTACTCAATAAATTGAACTATAGTGAAATGAACCTATGGAATGGCAAAATCCTGAATAGAATAGATAATGGGAGTGCACCTACTGAATTCACTGGAATGAGTTTGAGTAAAGATATAGACTTGTTCATTATATATTGGCCTCTTCATATTTTTATCATTTATATACAGAGATATTTACTCCATCGGATATCAAGAGGCATTTTATATTATTAAAATACAATAAAAACATTGAAGTGTTACTGCATTCTTCTTATATCCATTAAAATCTATACCATCCTATTAATATAGAACAATTTGAATCTGGATTCACCAACAAAAGCAAAAAGGGAAAACCATAAAGGTTACCAGAACTGGTTTAATGGATTACAGAAAGTCAGCAGGCTAGGGGTCAAATGGGCTTCAGAGAGTAGGCTGTTCCATAATGTTGGGACTACTAGTTGGAAGGTCTTCCTCCAGTAAAATATATTTACAATATTGTTGCCATATATTTGAAACAGTACATCATGAATGGCAAGTGCAGATAAACTTAGCATACTAAGCCATAACCTGTGATTAAGAAATCACAGTAGCTGGAGTACATTAAATCAAACCCAAACAAGTAATGTTAGAGCTAAGCAAATTATATGAATTTGGGCTCTGGGTTCCAATGCCACTCTTAAGTTTAAGTCTGGCCAAATAGCTGCGTACAAAGGAATATAATGGTATAATACACATTCTTCACCTTGCAGGGTGTGATGTGTTTAAACACAGCCTATAGCTTAGTACATTGTTCAAGCCAACCACTGAGAGACATTTGATAATACTGTCTTTTTATCTGTGGAGCATTTCTGAATGTTACCCCCGGGTCACCAAGGAAGTGGCAATAATCACTTCTGGAGACTTTGAGGCACTAGTGTTGAAAAGGTCCACTAATGAACTCAAACATCCATCTATTCCTTAAATCTTCTGAGAGTGACCAAGTGCCTCTCAAGAAATCCACAAACAAGATACAAACAACAGTATTCTTCAACTGTCATATAGCAACTGATATCGGCAGTGCTGTATTTTTCTTCATTTCCATCTTGGCTATCATCACCAAAGATTAATCTTCCATGAATATGTCTAATTGTTTGTTTGTTTATTTATTACTGTAAACTAATTCCCCTCTCAATTTCTGGTAATAAATTACATATCTGAACTATGTGTTGTGTAAAAGGTACTATTATTATGTCCTCCCAGTTAGTCATCTGTTAAAGAAACCTCAAGCACTCCAGCTTTTCATCATAGACATTTCCTATGTAATCTTTGGGAGAAAGGCATTCTGGGTGAAGTTCTATATGCAAAGTGGCAAGTGCTAAGATTGGGATAGAATTAACTGGCTTAAGGATCACTTAGTTACCTTTGATGAAGGCAAAAATAATGTATATGTGAAGTTACTTGTATAAAACTACTCAAGAAATAGACTTGGAAAAAATATCTGTTTTGTTTTTTGTAATACCACATTCTGGTATTAGTTCAGTGCTAAATACTAGAAGACTGGACTTGTACCAGATCTTATTACTACTGCCATTTGGTGGAGCCCATTTTTAATGAGCAGAACAAGTTAAACAATCTCACACATGCTGTGCGAAAAAAGGAGCATCTGCTATTCCTGATCATTACTAGACTACTCAGGCTTATACAATAATTGTTTTGTTCCATGAGTGTCACAAACCTGTCACCTTCCAAACAACAACTTTGTAGGGAAATCCCCACTTGCATATTTCTTTACTGAGATACTCTTTTTCCTACTGAATTATATAATTTAAACATCTGATCACATTTTGGGGGAAACACATATCCCAATTTTTACACTCAGTCCTCAATAGATTTCAGAACAGGTGTCTCATACATACAGAGCAGATGGCCTTCAAAATGCAAAGTTTAATCTTGCTGGAGAGAATAAGGATAGTACTGTGTAATCATTCATATGTGCCCTGTTTGTATAACCAAAATCCGCATAGCCCCATTTTTTAATTATTTGTGATGAGATACATAGCACATGCTAGCAAGGTTATGCTCAAAATCCTACAAGCTAGGCTTCAGCAGTATGTGAACTGAGAACTACTGGATGTACAAGCTGGGTTTAGAAGAGGCAGAGGAACTAGAGATCAAATTGCCAACATTCACTGGCTCATGGAGAAAGCACGAGAGTTCCAGAAAAACATCTGCTTG